GCTGGAAGAGTGAGCATCCGTCCGCGCCACAAGTGAGAGCGAGAAAAGCGCACACAGGGAGACACGTTCCTGTGCGGATCAGCTAGGTCACCACCCGCCTGAATGTGTGAACTTCTTTTTTAGGAAGGCTGCTGGAGAAGTCTGCCTAACCCCAAAGTTTGCTTCAAGTATTCCCCCCCCACCCCCGGTGGGATTTAGGGTTGACAAAATCCATATGGGGCCTGGAGATGTCCCAGAATTACAGCTCATCTCTAGACTACAGAGATCAGTTCCCCTGAAGAAAATGGCTGCTTTAGAGGTTGGAGCCTATGGCATTGTACCCCCACAGAGGCCCCCTCCCCAAATCCCGCCTTCCCCAGGGCTCACCCCCAAATCTCCAGGAATATCCCAGCACTGAGTTGGCAACCCTAGGGGGATTAGCTGGCACAACAAAAATCCATGTGCCTTTCCCACAATGCCTTGCCACCGTGGTAGAGTGCACTGGAACCCATTTGAAGCTGCTCTACCAGGCCTTAAGAATTCACTGTCAGAAATTTCTACACAGTGGGTCGAAAACTGGTTTCTATGTAGGAAACATGGAGTGGCTTTTATCAACCTGCAAACCAAGCCACAGAGTAGCCTTCCTCGTAACCTCCAAGATAGAAGAGTCACAAAAGTTAGCTCTCTCTTAAAAGCCCTACGGTTCCTCATCAGTCCCTGTTCATCTGCCATTTCCATAAGAACAAAAGAAGGACCCTGCTGGATCAGGCCAGTGGTCCATCTAGTCCAGCCTCCTGTCTCACACAGTGGCCAGCCAGTTCCTCTGGAGGGCCAGCAAAAGGGCAGAGAGGCCAAGGCCTTCCCCTGAAAAGAACATCAGAAGAGCCCTGCTGGGTCAGACCAGGGAGGGTCCATCTAGTCCAGCATCCCGTCTCACACAGGGACCAGCCAGTTCCTCTGGAGGACCAACAACAGGGCAGAGAGGCCAAGGCCTTCCCCTGAAAAGAACACCAGAAAAGCCCTGCTGGATCAGACCAGGGAGGGTCCATCTAGTCCAGCATCCCGTCTCACACAGGGGCCAGCCAGTTCTTCTGGACAGCCAACAACAGGGCAGAGAGGCAGAGGTCTTTCCCCTGAGAAGAACACCAAGAAGAGCCCTGCTCGGTCAGACCAGTGAGGGTCCATCTAGTCCAGCCTCCTGTCTCACACAGGGGCCAACCAGTTCCTCTTGAGGGCCAACAACAGGGCATAGAGGCTGAGGCCTTCCCCTGATGTTGCCTCCTGGCTCTGGGATTCAGAGGTTGATTCCCTCTGAATGTGAAGGTTCTCCTCAGCCACCATGGCTAGTAGCCACTAATAGATGATGGTGAAGAAGAAGAGACTGGATTTGTACCCAGCCCTTCACTCAGAGTCTCGGAGCGGCTTCCACACTCCTTTCCCTTCCCCTCCCCACAACAGACAACTTTGTGAGGTAGGTGGGGGGGGGGCTGAGAGGGCTCTGAGGTCTGGCTTCACAGGGAGGAGAAGTGGGGAATCAAACTCAGTACTCCAGATTAGAGTCTGCTGCTCTTAACCACTACACCGAACTGGCTCTCCTCCAAGCATCTGTCTAATCCCCTTCAAGAGCTGTTTATTCCTGTGGCCATCCCTACATCCTCTGGCAGCAAACTCCGAATTCCCTGCTCCGGTTTCCTGCAAGTCCCTGTGGGACTTAAGACCACCAGAAACGTGAGAGTTGGTCTGGCTGCAGAAAACCTGGGGAACCCACAGGCATGTGGACAGTGCCTGAGGCCGCCAAAGAGTTCATTGTGCATCAGAAGACCTTGTCCCAAGACAGTCCCCACCCGGGCCCCACCCAGAATAGTACCTTGTAAGATGCAAGTCCCTCAGTGAGCAGAATCATTTCAGGGGAGACAAGCAGAACGGCTCCCTGCCCCTCCCCGACCAACCCAACACCACAAGACGCCATCTTGTCGCCTTCCAGGGGACTTACCCAGCATGCCCTTGTTGGAGTCTGACAAGCACATGTCCTTCTCGGCGCTCGGGAGGACAAAGCCCACCACAAAGATCTCCACCCCGTCGGCCATGAGGGCGAGTCCGAGCACAAAGTACAGGGTCCACTGGAAGCGCCCGTGTCCGCACTCCTGCAGGATCAGCTCGTACTGCTGGGACAACTCCTCCTTCTCCTTCTTCCTGTCCCCTTCCAGATCGTCAAAGTCCCTGAACTCGCTCACCACTTCCTGGTTGGCCGTCAGGGGGTCCCCCCCTTTGAGGGAGTCGTTGCGGGGGATGCCCTGGTACTCGCCCTCGTAGATCTCGTCGTCTTCGTCGTGGCCTTCGGTGGCATCGCTGGAGGCCCCTTCGTCGTCGACCGACGGCTCCCCGCGGTAGTAGCCGTCTTGAGGCTGGTAGTCGTCGTCGTCATCGTCCTCCTCGAAGCGTGCGTAGGAGCGCTTGGTGTACTCGTCCTGCACCCGGTCAACACCTTTGCCCACCTTCTTGGTCGCGTGCTTCTTTACTTCCTTGGCGATGTCTTTGGCCCCACGGATGAAGGCTGTCCGGTCTCTGAAGCCTTCATCCATGGCTCTTGACTTGCACACGGACCCCTTTCAGATCTCGAGGTTAAAGAGAGACGGAGACTGTGCAGAACGGATGGCGGAAGCTTCCCACCAGCGCTCCGGCGGGCGGGCGGCGTCTTCCTCTGGAGGATGCCCGTCACGCTTTGGGGGCAAGCTGCAGCCTTCCAGTTGGGGAGGAAGAGCCGGTCTCGAGAGCTGTCCAAGGGCCACGGGGTGAGGACACGGAGTGGCCACCCATCCGTTTGTATCTCCGCTTATGGTTGAAAAGCAGGAGGGGGCCAGCAAAGGAAGCAGCTCTGTTGGGCCGAATGGACACCGTCCTGCCAAAAGGACAAAGCCAAACCAGAAAGCATTAGGCATGAAGGAAGGAAGGAAGGAAGGAAGGAAGGAAGGAAGGAAGGAAGGAAGGAAGGAAGGAAGGAAGGAAGGAAGATTAGCAAAAGGCAAGGGCTGATAGGGGTGGCTCATGAACACCCCGGTCCCTTTCCGGTTTTTACTAAAATAACTGAAATGCTTCCTTAGGTCTCTTCTGTACATCTTTGTAGCAATGTACCCTCTAAGCTGTGGAGTCTCGTGAGCAAAAACTCTACTTTGTGAGCTCCTGGCATTAAGGTTGTGAGCCAGCGATTTGGCTACTGCATAAATTAGTTTGCTCTGGAGCCCCATCCTTCCTGAGTGGAGACAGAAATGTGTGAGCTGGAGGCTAAAAAACTGTGAGCCAGCTCACACTGACTCAGCTTAGAGGCATCACTGGTAGCACTTGCTGTTGAACATCTACATGAGCTGATGTTCCAGTTTACCACTAATCTGCTGGTATGTACTCATATCGGGAGGAGCCCTGGCTCAGTGGTACGTAGAAGGTCCCCACTGTTAAGAGGGGATGTGGAAGACCTCAACCCAACACTATGGAGAGCATCTGACAGACAATACTGACCTTCATGGACTGGGGGGGGTCGGGTCTGATTCAGTACAAGGAAGCTTCATGTGTGTCCATGTTCAACATGTATTAATCATAGAATCACAGAGTTGGAAGGGACCTCCAGGGTCATCTAATCCAACCCCCTGCACAAGGCAGGAAACTCACAAATACCTCCTCCTCTACACCCCCAGTGACCCCTGTTCCATGCCCAGAAGATGACAAAGAACCTCCAGGATCTCCAGCCAAACTGGCCTGAAGAAAAACTGCTTCCTGACCCCAACGTGGCGATCAGCATTTCCCTGGGCATGTAAGAAAGGGCCACGGGAACTAAGCACTGAGGCAACCCTTCCTGCCCTCCCTCTCGTGATCGGCCTAAGTTCACACAATCCGCATTGCCTGTCAGATGGCCATCGAGTCTCTGCTTGAAAACCTCCCGAGGAGAGCCCACCACCTCCTCCCGAGGAAGCCTGTCCCACTGAGGAACCGCTCTGACTTGACTGTCAGGAAGTTCTTCCTCGTGTTTTTGCTGTTTCCATGGAATCCCCATTTTCTTCGCCACAGCACGAATACTGATATGAATGTTATTTCCTCCCTTCTCTTTTTATCAGGCATCATTCTGATTATAGAGCAAGCCCCTGTGTGGCGCAGTGGGTGGCGGTAGACTCAGACCAGGGTTCAAATCCCAGCGTGCCATAAATCTGACCGGTGACCCTGGGCCAGTCCCTCTCTCTCCGCTAGGGATGCCATCCTACAGCTGGGAATTACAGCTCATCTCCAGACTACGGAGATCTGTTCCCCGGAGAAAACGGATGATTTGGAGGGTGGAAAATATGGCACTGAGGTCCCCGTCCTCCCCGGGGCTCCATCCCCCAAATCTCCAGGAGTTTCCCAGCCTGGATCTGGCAACCCTACTACCTGGCAACTCCACTCTCAGCCTGATCTACCTCGCAGGGCTGCTGTGAAGGCAAAATGGAGGAGGGGAAGATCCTTGCATGCTGTAAGTGCAAGATAAAAAACACACTAGAGCAGGGGTGTCGAACTCGTTTGTTATGAAGAAGAAGAAGAAGAAGAAGAAGAAGAAGAAGAAGAAGAAGAAGAAGAAGAAGAAGAAGAAGAAGAAGAAGAAGAAGAAGAAGAGGAAGAAGAAGAAGA